TCCCCCGGCACCTAACACTGCCCTTAGCGCACAGTAGGTGCTCAATAAACACCCACGGATGTGTCTGTGGGAAAATGCGTTTACTTTCTTCACTTGAAACATCGGGCTTCTATCCAAGGGCCTCTCTGGTTAAAAGGTTATTCCCTTCACCAGATTAAAAGGCTGGCCCTCTCGATAGCAATCAGAGGGCAGAGGGGACACAGCGCTGTGCAAACAAGGGCAGAGGCAAAATGAGGTTGCAGGAAGAGGCAGATGTCCAACTGGCGACATGCAGGTGGCTGGCATCCAGAGGTCTTTTGGTAACCTCTGATTTAAAGAGGAGGAGGAGGAGGAGGGAGAACAGGAGGAAAAGGAGGAGGAGAGGAGGAAGAGGAGGAAAAAGATGGGATCCTAAAGGTGAACCAGACCTGCACCTCGGCCTATGGCTGTCCAGAGACAACCAAACCACACTCTGTGAGCAAAGTAGTAGCTGTCACAAGCCTGGTCACCAATTCTCTTCCATCAGAGTCCGACAAAGTCAGGAGTGCTACCAAGTAATATTCAAAAAGTAAAGGCAAAGGACATGTGGACAGCGTAAGTCCCTCCTCTAGGGGCTTCGGAATCATTCCAGCCAATCCTCATTCTTCACAGATTCCACCCTCATCACGATTTACTCGTGATTCCAAATCAACCTTCGTGCCCTTCCTCAGTCATCCGCGGACATGCACAGCGTCACCCAATGCGGGCGCCCCCAGCCGAGGGCAAGCAAAGACCTTCCGCTCTGGTTTCAGCTCTCCTACCATGAACAGTATCCTCCCCACGGTCCTTTAGTGCCACGGCTCCCGAGTTTTCTGTTGGTGGCTCTGCCGTTTAACCCAGCCTGCACGCCTGGTGCTAACGTGCTGTCCGGTGCCCTCAGCCCAAGGAGGCTGTTTACAGGTCACAGGGTGTTGAACAGGCTTCATCCAGGCTGTGCTCTTTCTTGCCCACGAGTTCAACATTAATGGATCAATCCCATAGATTAAACATGGTGGCTTTAAACGGGAACACACACAAAACAGGGTTATGTGTCGATCTGCTGACAAGAATGTGACCAGAGACTCGCAGGAGCCTAAGGTGGGCGAGGGTCCTGCAAGCGTCTGGCCTCTTTCCCCTCTGGGGGCAGTGGTTCAGGGTTCACTGACTCCATGTTCACAGCCACTTTGCAGAAAACAACTACCACGCCGAAACCGGTTTGGCTCAGCGATAGAGCGTCAGTCTGCGGACTAAAAAGTCCCAGGTTCAATTCCGGTCAGGGGCATGTACATTGGTTGTGGGAACATCCCCAGTGGGCGGTGTGCAGGAGGCAGCTGGTCGATGTGTCTCTCTCATCGACGTTTCTAGCTATCTCTCTCCCTTCCTCTCTGTAAAAAAAAATCAATAAAATATATATTTTTTTAAAAACAAACAAACAAAAAATTACCACAAAGGGGGTGGGGTGGGGTGGCCGGGGAGAGGTCAATGGGGGGGAAAGGGGGGGAAGAGACAGGCGTATGTAATACTACATGTAATACTTTAAGCAATAATGAATTTAAAAATGATAAAAATTAAAAACTGTGGCACATTTAAAAAAAAAAAACAACTACCAAGAATAAGGAGAATCAATCGAGTATCAAAATGCTCTGCTTCCTGTCCCACATCCTCTGGCGCACACCGCCCCCGCTGCTCACGCCATCTGCTCCTCTTTGCACAGGGATTCGGCTGCTGAGGGCCTCTGCTCAGCCATCTCTCAACTATCTCGAGGTGCCTCCTCTCTCACAGCCTGTCACCTCCCCCTTCTAAGGTAGTTCCTACAATCAGGAATGATCAGCCACCTCTCTGTGCCCTCCCACCCCAACCGAAATCTAACTCCCTCCTCTTCCCCCCCCCCCCCCCCCCAGGTCTGGTTCCCCACATGTCTGCGGCGGCCCCAACAGTGCCTGACACAGCTGGGCCCCGGGCTTGCCTGAGGAGGGCGGCCCACCAGACACACAGCGACACCCCTGTCTTCGGGCTCCGGGGGCACCCACAGAGCCCCTCTGGGGCCGGGTCCCTCTGCTCCTCAGGGAGACCCACAGGGAACACCGATTAGCCCTGGGCTGCCCGGGCCACGGAGCTCCTGAGTGGCCAGTCCACGCTGGGATGTGCCGTAGGTGTCAAATCTGCACAAGATCCCGAAGAGCTCCTATAAAAGTATTTGTAAAATATCTCAATGGCTTTTACTATTGAGGCCATGTGGAAAGTATGCTATTTTGCCAAAACCGGTGTGGCTCAGTGGATAGAGCCTCGGCCTGCGGTCTGAAAGGTCCCAGGTTTGATTCCGGTCAAGGGCATGTACCTTGATTGCGGGCACATCCCTAGATGGGGGTGTGCAGGAGGCAGCTAGTCGATGGTTCTCTCTCATTGATGTTTCTAACTCTCTATTCCTCTCCCTTCCTCTCTATAAAAAAAAAAAAAAGAAAAAGAAAAGAAAAAAAATCACTAAAATGTATTTTAAAAAATAAATAAATAAAAGTATGCTGTCCGGAACATTCTCGGGTCAATGGAATAGATTAAAGTCCATTCCAGCTGTTTCTTTTTACTTTTCAATGTGGCTCCTAGGGATGTTTTCCTTGCTTACACAGCTGGCATTATATTTCAGAGTCCGTCTCAGTTCTAATAACACGAAAAGGGCAGCCAGCGACCAGGCCAGCTCTGGCCACCTCTCGTCGCTGCTGCCCAGGGCCCTCCAGAGCCAGGCAGGAAACACCTGTCCTGCGGCTTCCTGCGACACACACACACCTGAGTGCATTCAGAAAAAGGCTTCGGAAACCAGGGCTAGAGGGAGTTCCACATACGAAACCACTCCACCCCAAGAAGGGAAGTGTGCGCAAGCAGAACAGGGGCCGGCATCAAGCCGGCATCCAAATGCAAACACTGTTTCCAACTCGTCCGTTCACACTGGGAATGGGAGACTCAGAGCCTGGGGCAGGGGAGGCGGGGGAGGAGGAGGGGATGTGGACAATGGCCTGGCTCCCTATGTCATTGATCCGAGGGGACACTGTGCCCCCGTGTCCCCATCTGAAGAGGCAGTCGCCATCTCCCCTCCTTCCCAACACTGTGCTGTCCACTAGAACGTTCTATGATGGTAGAGGCGCTCTCTGCTCTGTCCAACACAGGGGCTATGGAGCTCTTCAAGTATGGCTACCCTGACGGAGGAACTGCCTTTTTATAAAAATATATTTTTTTTATTTTTTTACAGGGAGGAAGAGAGAGGGACAGAGAGTTAGAAACATCAATCAGCTGCCTCCTGCACACCCCCACTGGGGATGTGCCCGCAACCAAGGTACATGCCCTTGACCGGAATCGAACCCGGGACCTTTCAGTCCGCAGGCCGACACTCTATCCATTGAGCCAAACTGGTCTTGGCAGGAACTGCATTTTTAATCGCATTTAATTTCAATTCAAATAGCCCACATGTGGTGGCATTGGACAGCACATTGGCCTGTTTGAGACAGGACAGAGAGAGACAGAGCTTATTAAAAAAAAAAAAAAAAAAAAAAAAAAAAAAAAAAAAAAAAAAAAAAAAAAACACTTTGTAAATCCCTATAGAAGTAGTAGGGCTTTTGGCGTTGTTTCGGGAATTACAAATATGAGGTTCTGAGAGATTTCAATTGCCCAATAAAGAGACTCGATTCATCCTAAGTGCGAAGAACCTAAACAAACACTCAGATTTTACTCCACTCGGGGGAGAAGCGCAGCCGGTGTTCACAGTCACCTCCCGTGGCGCTGGAGGGGTGAACCCTTCACGCGCAGCTCAGAAGGCAGGTCTTAATCCCCACTCACAGCCAGGGCCTCGGCCGCAGGCAGGCAGGCGTCGAGGTTGCCAGTGCACTGCTGGTCGATTACCTTCCTACGCCTGCACCCTTACTGTTAGGGACCAGGTGCTCCCTGCCCTCTCCACTGGCCTTCCCGCTATTTCTCCTGCTACAGACACAGGTCCTCGCAGCAGCTCCCCGCGCTCCTTCAGCTCTGACACCATTCACAGGCTCCCGGACACAGGCAGGGGTAGTCCAGATCCGAGATCGCTCCTGAAAAGGCAGCGGGACCCATCAGGTAGCTGTGAAGAATGCTAATCTGACCCTGGCTGGTTTGGCTCAGTGGATAGAGTGTCAGCCTGCGGAGCAAAGGGTCCCTGGGTTCAATCCCAGCCAAGGGCACTTATCTGGGTTGCAGGCTTCTCTCCCTGCCCAGGCCCTGGTCAGGGCTCCTGCAGGAGGCAACCCATCAAGTGAGACCAAGTTTCTCTTGGTCTTTCCCTCTCACTTCCACTCTCTTTCAAAGATCAATGGAAAAGTATCCTCGGTGAGGATTAACAACAACAAAAAAAGGATGCTAATCTGTTTACACTCCGGTAGGGAGATGCTCATGAAATTCAAATGAGTTCTAGCCTCTCAAGATGCGTCCCAGCAGGAAAGTCCTTCCCAGTCTCAACAGCTTTTCCTCACCGTTAAGATGATTATATCCTACACCAGCCGGCTATAAAGAGATGAGCAGCAACGTCGAAGGGGGTGAATTATTAGCGCAGGAAAGTAAAAAAAAAAAAAAAAAAAAGAGGTTTAAGTCTGGGGAAACGTGTTTCCAAGAACAATGGTAAGGAACCGCCCGAAAGCATTGCAGAGGCTTTGTGTGAGCTCCTACATTCTGCTCCAGGAAAGAGTTCAGCTCCTTTCCCCCTCAGGCCTTTAGCACTTCCACAGACACATTCACGTTAGGGCTTACGCCTGTGCAAAGCCCTAGGTTTGGGCCCCACGGAGCCTCCGTGATGAAAAAAACAACATGAGAAATTAGATCCATATGTGTTCCACCCACAAGCTGGGCTCAGCGGTGTACTGGATTCTGTCAGACGGCAGTCTATTGCTCAACCCCGAGCAGGGGACGCCAGCAACCACCCTCCAGCGACTAACACAGAATGAACCATTCTGGTGTCACTTCAACTAGGACAGGGGCTCGGCTTTCTGTACCTCAAGTTCGGTCTCCCGTCGGTTGATGTCATCCGTGGATTGATTTAACTTCTCCAATTCTCCCTAAAGAAGAACAGAGGGAGGAGAAAAAAAAAAAGATTTAAAGGGATTGTCTTTTGTTTCCAGTATGACTCAGTCCATTACCTCCAAAATTACTCCAGCACCATTTGTGGGAAGAGGGACGAGTCAGGATTAATTCTCAAGGAAAACAACAGCTGAGCCTCAGCCGGAAGAGCAAGTGTATGTCAGCATTTCTGAAAACTTTATCTTTGATCTGCAATTGTCAGAAAGTCCCAGAAATCTGTCTTTTCTTAGAAGGTCAAATAGGTATTCCAGGTCTGTGCCTTCAGGTAAATCCACCTGTTACAATGGTTTCAGAGCCGAATCCAAACAGGACCTTCAGCCTTACAGCAAGAACTTTGCAGAAAAGGCAATAAAAAATAAATAAGGCCACGCCACAAGGAGAAACCCGGTGAAATGTTTTCAATCAAGGGCAAGATTCTGACGTTAACTCATTGGTGGTTGAGTATTTTTCTATAAAGACGAAAACCTTTTCTTTTCAAACTGCAATTATTCAGTCTCCCTGGGTATTTTTAAACTAGCTTTTTAAAAAAATACCTTTAAACATTTAAATAAACATTTACAAAATGAGATTCTGTCAAAAGTGGCCAGCATGAAGTTAACTCGTTTTATTCTGCAAACAAAGGGATCTTGTTAACAGAATTCCCCTACCAAGAAAACATGGGAGTAGCTCAGACTGACGATTTTAATTAATAAGATTCCTAATGCAAGCATTTCCCACCTGATCTTTATCTGGCTAATCTGCAAAAAAAAAAAAATCATTTAAATAGAAACAGCTGGGTTAAATGAGCTGCTAATTGATCTGCGCACTGAAAAACCCAATGAGGGCTTCAGGAATGGAAAGGTAGACTGAAAAGCAATATATTTTTTAAAAACGACGTATGCAAAGGGTAGAAACACGGGATCTGCTGTGCGTTTTGCCTGGAGGGTGACGAGGTGACGCTGTCACTCCTAGGTCCAGGCTTGGAAACTGGTTTTTAACCATCATCTCCCTTGGAAATGGAGGTGCGGGGAGCCAGGCCAATGCCCTCGCCCTCGCCCCGCGCCTGCTTTGCGCATCAGCTGTTCCTGATTCCCGTTCACACTCAAAACCCCACAACAAGGCAAAGCTAGGTTTGAAACCTCCGAGGCCAAGTGCAAGGTTGAGTCAGGGGGGACACAATACACCCTTCCGTTTGGTAACAATGAATCAAAGGAGGAAGACGGCTCGGGCCGGTACCTGCGCCAGGTGAAGGGAGAAGACTCGGAACGCCGGGCAGCGGTGCCAGCCGGGCAGCGGGGCGGACGACGCCCACTTGGCGGCCTCTCCCTCCTCCCCACCCCCCAATGAGGCCGTGCAATGCCCGGAGCTGGGCCGGGGACCCCCCACACCCGCATGGCGCCCCCGCCCCCTTTCCCTTTGTTGCACATCCACCGAACCGCGGAGCGCGCCGCGGCGACCCCGGGGTCCTGCCCGGCGTCTGCGGGGATCCCCGCGACCCAGCCAGGCCGCATGCACGCGGGCACGGCAGCTCCCCATGAGCCGGGAGAAGCCGCGGGTCCAGACCCCTCTCCCTGCACCGGGGGCTGCAGGCAGCTGGAGGTGTGGACGCCGACCTCCGCGGCGGCCTCGCGAGGTCGAGATCGGGGCGCCCCCCGGACCCCCGTGCGCCCTACCTGGATCCGGGGGTCCACCTCCTCTTCTTCCTCCAGCTCGTGCTCCATCCCCTCTTCCTCCTCGTCCTCCTCCTCCTCCTCCAAGTCCCGGGCGGGCGCCGGGAGCTCAGCCGGCTCCTCCGAGAGGCTCCGCTTCAGCGCCGCGTCCATGCGGGCGGCCGTGGGCACGCCAATCCGGCCGCGGGGTTTAAGCGAAGCGTCGGCCGCCGCCGCCGCCACCGGGCTCGCCCGCAGCCGCTGCTCCGCGGCCCGCACGGTCCGGGAGCCGCAGACCCGGGAGGCGCCTCTCGCCGCCGCGGTCCCTCGGCCCAGGCGGAGCGGAGGAAGTGGGCGCGGCCGCCCCCTGTCGGCAGCGGCGGTCAGCGCAGCGGCGCCCGCTCCGCCTTCGTCCCGCCCGGCCGGCCTCCGCGCTTGGCTCTGACTGTTCTCTCTCAGGCCGCCCCCGGGACCCAGATCGCCGCCGTCACAAAAACCCCAGCTCCCTGAGCACCTCCAGCGCGGGGCGACAGGGAGTCCTCCCCCTGCAGCCCGGAGCTATCACAGGCTACGCCCCCCCCACACGTCGGATGCCCAATTTCGGGGCAGCTTTCTTCTCCCCCCCCCCGCCTAAGGAAATGGGCGGTGGGAGGAAAGTTTGGGGTATTTCCACTCTCCGAAGTCACCTTTAGAAGCCTGTCCCCAGCAGTGGCCCTGGACTAGTTTCAAGACTCACTCCAACCCCTGCCTATAGGCGCCCAAATTACGTGTCTCTTGGGTGAGCCTTGCTAATGGTATCTGCTTGAAGATTTCACCAGAAAGGGGAACAGAAACATATGCTCATATGGACACAGAAGGACAAGGGGTCATACGTGCATTCCCATCCAAAGGCTATGGCACCCCCCTCACACCCAGAACCTGTGCTTTCATAGGTGTGGGCTGGTCCTCCCTGAGTAGCCAGGAAGCATGGAAAATCATGGATCAGGGATGTGGGTGAGTGGGTGGGTGGGTGGGTACAGCCTACGCAGGAGGTGGTTAGTGTAACCCCCATCGATGGGCACACACTCTAAGCCAAGGGTTTATGAACTGGCAAGGTATCCTGCCCACCCAGAGCAAGTAGGCAGCCACAGCTTCCCTGGCAAACTCAACATCACAAAAGGCCAAAGATCGAAAGGGCATGTCTGTGCTGTTATAAAATGTCAGGACCTCTGTGATGTCAGGGGGGGCACAGGAGGAGATGAGCTTGGCAAAGCAGGAAGGGCATTGCCCACTGGCCCCTGCTGATGTCTCCTCCGCTACGAAGATGCAGGACGTGCCCAGGTGTCAAACACAGGCTTGTGGCCCGTCAGCTCTGGGAGTTTGGAGGCCAAGCTGGCTTGAGATAGGACTTCTTTCTGAGCGCCCAGCACTAAAGCCACCTTGGAAAACCTGCCTCTGACGGTTCTATCAGAAGCTAAGATGGGGGTGTGTTATTCCTTGGGCAAGGTACCACCCTCCAGAGGCTGGCCCGGTGGTCCGCTGGCAAAGATTCATCCTAGCTCCTGGAGGTAAGGCAGGTGCATGCCATAGGTTAGTTTCTGAAAAGGCCACACCTATTCAGGGTTCGTTAAATCAGTGGAGAGTTAGTGAAGGACCTTCTGAAGTCCCTTGATGTCCGGTGCTGGGTGAAGGCGGAGACCAGGTGACCATTAACGGGTTACTTTGGGACAAGAGAGCCACCATGTCACTCTGGTGGCTTGGAATCGAGCTTATAACTGAGCAGGGAGAAGCAGAGGTGGCAAACCATTCATTCCAATAATGTTCTGAAGCTAAAATAAGAAAAAATAAATAAACCACAGCAGTAATCTATATTTTCTGTTAGTACATACCAATGCACTTGAATGGATAGAAAAAGATCTGGAAGGAAGGATTCATAGCCAACAACAGAGTTATTCATACCATAGCCCTAGAAAAAAGGGATATGGAGGGGCTCCAGATTGGCAAGGATTTGGGGGAGGGGGAGGAGTCAAAAGGAACTTTTAATCTCTCAATAATGTTTTTGTTTCTTACAAGGAAGATGTATTTATAATTATTTGTGTGACTTAAAAATAAATTTAAAACAATACATGTTGCATTAGTTTTCCACTGTTGTGTAACCGTACCACAAACTTAGCAGATTATAACAGTACTCAAGTCAATGAAAGAGAAACACCACATGACCTCACTCATTTATGGATAATAAAGAACTGATGAACCAAAAGATAGATATACAGACAGTAAAGCAACAAGCAGACTGTCATGAGGCTCAGAGGGGTGGGGAAAAAAATCCTTTTCAGTTCATTCAGGTTATTGGTTGAATTCAGTTCCTTATGGTTGTAGGACTGAGGTTCCCATTTCCTTGCTGACTATCAGCCAGGGGTCAGTCTCAGCTGTGAAGGCTGCCTGCATTCCTTGCCATATAGTTCCCTTCACCTTCAAAGCCAGCAACAGAGAATCCCATTTGTGTTCAATTGAATGAAAGTGCACTCTTCAATCTTTTCTTCAGGAGAAGCCCTTTTAAGGGTTCACTTGATTAGCTCAGATACCCCCAGAATACTCTCCCATTCTTAAAGCCAACTATGCAATATACATAACCTCATCATGGGAGTGACTATCCCATCGTATTCACAAGTTCCCCAAATTATTCAGCAATATGCACACCAGAGAGCAGGAAATGGGTCACTCAAAATTCTGCCTACTGCACATACTAAGAAGGGAAGTCATGTAAGTAAGTGGCTTGGAAGCTGAGCAAAGGCTTGGTATTTATTTTAGCTGGTGTACTGAGTGAAATAGTGGTTCCAAAGGAATGGTCTGGAGACTCCTGAATATCCCCGAGACCTGGCAGGAGGCCCATGAGATCAAAACGACTTTCATACTGAGACTAGAGTATTTGCTCTTTCCACTGTCATTCTCTCATGAATGCACATTAGAGTTTTCCAGAAGCAGCCAACCTGATATCACAACAAACTGAATGCAGAATTTACACAAGAACCCAGCTGTCTTCTATGTTGGGAACCATTTCATTTTTCATTTTGAAAGCTATTTTTCATTAAAAAATATAATTATTTATGTTAACATCAAACATTATAAAATGTATTGTTGTTATTTTAGATAAATTAATAAAAATTATTTTTTTAAAAATTTTGTTTTAATTTCTATATAGCATCCACTGGTAGATGTAACCACATACACTAAATAACAGCTCCTTGAGATCTCCAATCATTTTAAAAACTATAAAAGGGTCCTGGCACCAAAAAGTTTGAGAACTACCGATTGAGAGGAAATGGTTCTCTAGGTCTCTTACCCTTTTTTCATTTGTGTTTAAAGTTTCACTTCCTCCTTCACTCAAAAGATGCATCCCCCACCAAGAACCCCGCTGGCCACTGTAGAATATTATAGGCACCGTACATTTTTGCCCATTTTCAAAGACTTTAAGTATAATTTAACTATTTGTTTTTGTGTGTATTTTAAAGAGAGAAAGAAAGATTTGTTGTTCCACTCATTTATACATTCATTGTTTGATTCCTGCCTGTGCCCTGACCAGAGCTCGAACCCACAACCTTGGCCAGGACGACGCTCTAACCAATCGAGCTACCTGGCCAGGGACTAAGTTTTAAATGAATGAGGAGATGGCTAAACAAGGTGCTGCTCCTACAGCATCACTTGGGCTAGTTCCTCGAATCTCTGTTTTGTCAGTTCCTATGAAGAATGCACCACCCAATTGTAATGTTGCTCCTTTGCAGAAGGTGGGTGGCTTTATAAAGCTCTGTCTGTGATGTGGTTTCCAGGCACACCCCCACCCCCTACCCTCAGGCTTTGAGTGGCTCCCAGTGGCTCAGGACACACCTGCTTCAAAGCTGCAATGTCTTGGCAGTGGCCTGACCACAGGGTGCCTGGTGTGGGCAAGGTGGGATGGGGGGAGGTGTGCCTGACACCCTCACAAAAACCTGGAGGCCTGCTTTGCTTGGAAACCACGCTCCCTGTCGGTTTATTTGTACTGCCTCCTTGCAGTTTGTTTACGCCCGGACACTGGCGGGAAATAGACTGTGTGCTTGTTCTCTGCCCACCACTTCCTCAAGTTGAAAGCGAAACTTCTCAGGTGAAAATCGCAGCCTCTGTGCTTCCCCCTTGCCATGTAGAACCGTGGGCTGCCATGTGGAACCAGAAAGGAACAGCCATCTGCAGGAGGGGCCTAGGTTTACATATTCCTCTATCACGGCTCTTGCTTGGCATGTTCTGGTTTCTTTCGTGGGATGGAAATCAACCTCTCCTTTGCACTGACGTCACACACCAACTGTCCCTGGCTTCCTGGCTTCTAAGGCAAGCAGGTCGCCTGCAAAGAGACACGCAGTGGTGAGTGTCCAGGGAGGTTTCTATTTCTGTCTGTGTGTGGGGAAACCTGGATTAGTTTAATAAACCCAGAAAACCCTGCCCTGCCCAAGTCCACAGGTGGACAGAGGCGTCTCCTCCTGGGCCTTACATGCTCCTCAGTCTTTGTTGTGAGAAGAGAAACCAAAGAGGTGAAAACCCAGGAGCGCAAGCCTGAGAGGATGTGAGCGGGTCTGCTGACCTCAGAGCGCTGGGGATGTGTGTAAGGCAGAAAGAGGGGTAGTGCCGGCCCGACATGGGTGAGGGACCCTCTGTAAGAGCACAGACACCATCCCACTATCCGCCTGCAAGGGCCGGGTGGTTTTCCAGAGATGTTGATACTGAGCCTTGAATAATAAGTGGAATTTTCTCAAACTAGGAAGGAAGGTTTTGCCAAAGAAAGGAAGAAAGGGCTTCCCAGGTTGGAAATAACACGAGGAAACCATGGAGGGGATGGACAGGTCCGGAAAAGAGGAGGGAGATCATTTGGACTCGGGGGCCCAAGAAGGGACTGAGGAACGGGAAGGAGCAGGGATGGAGCCTAACGTTGGGGGCAGGTCCTCCAGGGCCTTGGATGCTAGGCTAAAAACTCTGGACTATAGACCAGAAAAAGTGAGGCTCCATTCATTCATTCCTCTGCTCATCACTCACCTAACAAATATTTGCTGAGCACTTAACATGTTTTAGGCCTTGTTCCAGATGTCAGAGGTGCCGTTCTGAACAAAAGACACGGACTCCCTGCTGTCAGGGAGCTAACATTCTAGGAGGAGGAGACAATAAAGGAATAA